ACATCTGATTTTGCCCAATTTGCTAAAATGCAAGGTTAACCCCTTACAATTTGAAATTTTTCATAAACACCAAATTTAACCAAATTTCACTAAAGAAAAAAGTAAGGTTAATTCCTTACATCGGAATTTTTTTCAAAAACATCTGATTTTGCCCCATTTTGCTAATATATGCAAGGTTCACCCCTTACAATTTGAGATTTTTCATAAAAATCTCATTTTGCCCAATTTTGCTTAAAATGCAAGGTTAACCCCCTTACATCTGAAATTTTTCAGAAACATCTGATTTTGCCCAATTTTGCTAAAAATGCAAGGTTCACCCCTTACAATTTGAGATTTTTCATAAAAATCTGATATTGCCCAGTTTTGCTTAAAATGCAAGGTTAACCCCTTTCAATCTGCATCTTTTCAGAAACATCTGATTTCGCCCTAATTGGGCAAAGGTTAACCTCTTACAATTTTTGATCTTTCATACAAATCTGATTTTGCCCAATTTTACTCAAAAGGAAAGGTTAACCCCCTACAATTTGAAATTTTTCATACACATCTTATTTTGCCAAATTTTACTACAAAAGCAAGGTTAACCCCTTACAATCTGAAATTTTCCAGAAACATCTGATTTTGCCCAATTTGCTAAAATGCAAGGTTAACCCCTTACAATTTGAAATTTTTCATAAGCACCAAATTTTACCAAATTTCACTAAAGAAAAAAGTAAGGTTAATTCCTTACATCGGAATTTTTTTCAAAAACATCTGATTTTGCCCCATTTTGCTAATATATGCAAGGTTCACCCCTTACAATTTGAGATTTTTCATAAAAATCTCATTTTGCCCAATTTTGCTTAAAATGCAAGGTTAACCCCCTTACATCTGAAATTTTTCCGAAACATCTGATTTTGCCCAATTTTGCTAAAAATGCAAGATTCACCCCTTACAATTTGAGATTTTTCATAAAAATCTGATATTGCCCAGTTTTGCTTAAAATGCAAGGTTAACCCCTTTCAATCTGCAACTTTCCAGAAACATCTGATTTCGCCCTAATTGGGCAAAGGTTAACCTCTTACAATTTTTGATCTTTCATACAAATCTGATTTTGCCCAATTTTGCTAAAAATGCAAAGTAAACCCCTTACCATCTGAAATTTTCCATAAACACCTGATTTTGCCCTATTTTGCTAAAAAAATGCAAGGTTAACCACTGACAATTTGAAATTTTTCATAATCATTTAAATTTTCCCAATTTTACTCAAAAAGAAAGGTTAACCCCTTATAATTTGAAATTTTTCATACACATCTTATTTTGCCAAATTTTACTACAAAAGCAAGGTTAACCCCTTACAATCTGAAATTTTCCAGAAAGATCTGATTTTGCCCAATTTCCCTAAAAAATGCAAGGTTCACCCCTTACTATTTGAAATGTTTCATAAACATCTAAATTTTACTAAAAATGCAAGGTTAACCCCTTACAAGCTGCAATTTTCCAGAAACATCTGATATTTCCCAATTTTGCTAAAATGCAAGGCTAACTCCTTGCAAACTGTTAAATCAATACATGAAGTGTCCCATTTGCCTTTTTAAAACAAATTATTTTTCCAGTTTTTAGGGTAAAGGAATTTTCTCTTTTTCCTTTCTCTTTTGTTGTTGCTATATTTTGCGAATTAACTCATTCGTATGGAATGCTTATAGTTAATCAAAGAATATTTCACACATAGGGGCCTAAATTATATATTTTAAAATTTAATAGAGACGCATTGATCGTGCTATCATATACCATTCTAATACTGTTGCGAATTACTGTATTGTTTGGAATGCTCACAATTAAAGACACGTTATTTGAAAGATGTATTAATAATATTTATATTACAATGTACATCTTTATTCTTTCCCGGTATAATTTATGGCGTTTCTTACGTCAATTGGCAATCGCGTCATTATATAATGATAGTCAAATTGATCAAACGAAACTCCGTTTTGATTATAGTCATTATGAAATATTCATTGATTTATGACATACACCTTTGTTTCAATTTTGATACTACCCGTAGACCTGCCGAGCAGCTGTAGATATCAAACTAAACCAAAGTATAAAAGATAGAGGGTAAAAAAAATCAAAAAGTTATGTGCTAGTCAAGCTTTCAGGGATCGGTCTGAGCCATAACAATGCCCCAGCCGATCCCTTAGTTCTCTTCCGGGGTCTCGGCGTCCCCGACCAATACACACTTCCTTCCCTATCCATCCATATAACCCCGGAGGGCCAGGCACCATGTAAAAGCAAAGAGCTAAGGGAGGAACAGGGCGGCCCCTAAGCCCTGATCCTCCGAGTGGACCACATGCCCTGAACCTGTACGAAGGCGCCAACCTGGAACTCGCGGACAGTGCCAGCAGCAGTGCTTACCGATTAAGCTAAGGTACTTTACGACGGGAAATTAAATCTCTTATAGTTAATAATTGAACTCATACGTTAAAAACCAAAAAGACACCAGCGGGATTCGAACCCGGGACCCCGCTAACCGTGGACGACGAATCGTAACCACTCGGCCATTTCGTTACCTTAGAATGTTCCTTAAACTGAGAAAAGTTGTCTTTATAGGTGAGCAAACGCGCCAGGAAGATTACTGGGTCCATTTGCTTGACCTTAATGGGTAAAAACAAGTCGATATAATGAGCTCAGTGTGTTTGGTTTGTTAGGAAGCTGCATAACACAGCCTAATGTGCAAAACAGTCGTGTGCTAGGCGGATCATTACGCAACAATGAACACCGCAATTGTGTATTTTCAAAAGGCAGACGCGTAGGTTTCTACTCTTTGTATCTGGGCACATATAAATTCTCACCTCCCTCTTCAGGTATTTCGACTTTCTTAAAAAGAAAAATAGAGACTGTCAGCGAATCTCCGGGAGTTGAAATAAGGATCGTCCCCTCGATAGACCTCAGACTCAGTAAAGTTCAACATTGGGCTCTTTTTCAACGCTGTTTTTGCGGAAACTTTACATCTGGATTTTTTAGAAGCATCTGATTTTGCCCAATTTTAGTAAAATATGTTCCAAATTTTGCTAAAAAAGCAAGGTTAACCCCTTACCATTTTAATTTTTCATACAAATCTGATTTTGCCAAATTTTACTAAATATACATGGTACACCTCTTACAATTTAAAAATTTTCATAAACATTTCTTTTTGCCCAATTACAAGGTTAAGCCCTAACAATCTGCAATTTTCCAGAATCATCTGATTGTGTCCTATTTTGCAAAAAAAAATGCAAGGTTAACCCCTTACAATTTGAATTTTTTTCATGAACATCTAATTTTCCCCAATCTGATTCAAAAAGCAAGGTTAACCCCTTACAATCTGCAATTTTCCAGAAACATTTGATTTTTTCCCATTGTCGCTTTAAAAAAATGCGAGGTTAACCCCTTTCAATTTGAAATTTTTCGTAACATCTAACTTTGCAAAATTTCACTAAAAAAGCAAGGTTTAATAATCCCTTACATCTGAAAGTTTTCGGAAACATCTGATTTTGCCCAATTTCGCTAAAATATGCAATGTTCACCCCTTACAATTTGAAATGTTTCATAAACATCTAACCCCATACAATCTGCATTTTCCAGAAACATCTGATTTTTCCCGATTTTGCTAAAAAAATGCAAGCTTAACCCCTTACAATTAGATTTTTTTTCATAAACATCTAATTTTGCCCAATTTTACATTAGCTTATGCTAACAAATTATTAGGTAACTGGATCATTAAACGGGACAGGTGCACATCGGCCTTGGAGCTCAGACCATGTGTCATGCACTCCTCAATGCATAGATGATGCACATAACACTATGGGTAGTACAGGCACAGCTGGGGGTACTGCCCAAACAATGATGAACGCATTGCGTATGCTTAAAGAATTACCCACAATTCCGGTTTTTACCGTTTAGGTCTGGCTCTAATCACTTTACGCGATCCCCTGACGTCTCATACACTGACTTTAGGCAAAATAGTCAGACTTTCGCGGTCTAGTAACCAGACTTAGACTCTTAAAGAAACATCGAATGAAAAGGGAAATATCAAATGCATATTGCAAAAGATCGAATGCAAACATACCGATGAAACATCGAATACAAATAGCTCGAAATGTCAAACGTATGTGTGAAACATTGCTCACATATTTGAGAATATCGCAAATATATTGTAAAACAATACACACAATTGTATCGAAAAACATCACACATTTAATGCAAAAAAATCGAACATAATATTGAAAACATCGCACATATATATCGTCAAAAACATCGCACATAATTATTAATTGAAAATCGCATATAAATGTAAAACATCGCACACATATATTGAACATCGCACATATATTGTAAAACACCGCACAAATATATTAAACATCGCGCAAATAATGAAAAACATCGCACACTTATATTGAACATCGCACATAAATGTAAAAGATAACAAACACATATTGAACATCCAATATATATATTGCAAAATATTGAATATTGCAACGTTTGACACGCCATAAGCGGCGCTATATATATAGGATCTTTGCTCCTGATCCTGCACTAAAGTTAAAGTGCGCCCTCAAGCGACCCTGTTTTAATAGTTTCCTCGATTTATTTTGTATTTTTATAAATCGATCCCACCAGTTACATTTTCACTGCAAAATGCATCCTCTAAAGTGCATTTTTTAACGTCTTTTCTAATTTTTGAGGAAATGTGTGGGCATAGAGCTCTATGCTCTGATAAATAGGCAAACATGCTGGTGGGGGAGTGGCATATTCAGGGGAATAAGGGGGAGGGGCAATTTAGCATGAAGACATTTTTCTTTCAATATCTACCATGCTATTTTATTTTAAAACAATTTCTGAGCTGAAATTGTAAGAGCTGAAAATGTCCCAGTCAATTATGATTTCAGGCGAAGACAATAACATTGAAATAGAACAAAAATACCTGGATATGGATCAATAGTAATTACCATCAATAAAACAAATAAACATTACTATAAACACAATTGCATCTTCAATTTTTCTTTAATAAGACTCATTGGGATTAAATAAGAGAAAAGTCAAGTTTGAGAATAAAATCCTAGCTGAAATAAGAATACGAGCATCGTTATTCAACTTTCCTTCACAATTATTTAGTAAAATACAAATGCTATTTTCAAGTCGACATAAATTGATTGCTGGAAAATATCCCAAACCATACATTATGTAATACCAGTATAGCACCACCACAATATGTAATGCTCCCTGCAGGACTGCCTAGAATATTTCTAAACAAACCGATTCATTCAATCATGTTAAACATCCAGTAACAAAATGGATCCATAGAGGCAAATGACACCATTGGAAAAAATCTGATGAAAAATAAAACGGCCAGATTTACCCAGAATTTATAACATGGAACAGTCTTACCCTGAGAAGGTCGTCAAAGTCTAACATGCTTATTATGTCACAAAAGACATCACAGAAAATAAAGTTCTTTTTAGTGCCTCTTTATTGATTGTGCCTGTCAATTGATTCCGAATATTGGGCAAGGTCGGGTACCAAATGTTCCGAAAATTCATTTAGGAAATTTGGATAGCTTAAGTTTCTTAGCTGTGGTCGCCTGCCAATTTTATTCTTCAAACACAAACTAGAAACTTGTCGCAGATGATGTGGACTTGCAAAATAAATAAAACAAAATCAACATAACAACATAAAACCATTTGAAATATGAGAGTTTAGAAATGAAAAAAAACAAGAGCAAACATTTATGGCAAGAAGTGCTTTGAAAATGTTTATATTATTTGTAAAATAACTTTTCTCTATAGGTGTTTTCCTCTTGCAAGATGTGACGCAAACTCATATCGATCCTTACACTGATGTCCGCAGATATTGCACTCAAATGGATCCCGGAAACCATGGCAACCCATATGAATGGTATACATCACGTGATCAAGGAATATGATCTCGCAGTGTTCGCATTTGAAGTTGTCGGCGCCTGACATCTCCCGTCTGCAGTTTGTGCATAGTTGTTCCCCCGCCTCGTCTGCTGCTGTTCGTCTTGAGTTTCGGTGCTGCGGAGAATCGAAGACGGGCGATTTCACGGGGATCGCTTCGGTTGAGTCGGCTTTGTCTTGGATTTTGCCGCTGGGGCGGGTGGAACTGTGCGGCTTCTGACGCGAGTGTCCGTGACTGGAGGATCCGATGGACTCATCATAGTGGCTAACGCTGTCATTGGATTCACTCGTCTCGCTTCCGCCATCATGGCCGTCTTGAGATGCCACACCTTGCCCGCCTCCAGTTCCACCGTGGGAAGTCATGCTCTTGTTCACGAAATCCCTGGTTTTGTTCAAATCGATGGTTCCTCTGTACCTAACGGCCGAGGGGTATTCCCCATGCTTGCTTGCTGAGGGAGACATCTGGCTCCTTGCCGGGGGATGGTTCTTGGGAGTAAGTTGCGAGTTCTGAGTCTCCATTCTATCTGTGTCCATGGGTGCTTGGGAGTAGACTGCGGTTATGGTAGGGGTCACGTGGAGGTTTCCTTCCAGGCTTGTGGTGGCACGGTTCGTCAGGCAAATCTCGGAGCCGTACATCTGCATGACATTAGACAGAGCCTTCTCCAAATCCTGCAGAGGAAAAAAAAAATGATTTAAAATGTGTTCAGTACATAGAAAATACCTTATTATCCGGTGAAAAGAAATCTCCATTTTTAGTGAATACAAAGTCTTTTTAATCCGTAATTGTCTGCTGTCTGGATATATAAAAGGTAAATTTTTACATCTTGTTGAAAATGGAATGTATGGATTGAAAAATTAGAATACACACACACAAAAACACCAAAAGAATGTGTATTTTGGATAGCACAATACCTCATTGCTGGCTGTGTCCGTTATTCCACTGTTCCTGTCCTGGCTTGAATCCCGGGATGATTCTTCATCTGCAAAACACAAAACATTTCAATAAAGATAAAGACCCTCCTCTGGTTCTGTGAGTCACACAGTCACAAATCCATTCCATTTGCTAGTTGCCAGAGAAAATGAGCCAGCGCACAAAAAAGAACCGGACAAACATGGGTCAACTGATTTACAGGGAACATCACCACAGCGACACGCCTTTTTCAAACAAAGAGAAGATATATTACCGTGACGGTTATAAGGTTGTTGACAGTCATGCAATGTCAGTGTAACTTCACAAGACGGGCCAAATGCAGTCTGTCAATATCTCAAACTCAGGATGTTAACACTGGCAAAAAGAATATCCTTACCGGTTGTAATAAATTTTCCCAATTTATTTTTTTTTTAAATGCAAAGTTAAATATCAAGAGAGAACAAACCTGAAATACCAGATTTGAATGGGTTTGTTTTCTTTTCAAGATTGGGTTTCTTGAGAAAGTTGTAACATGAACAGCCTATCTAAAACCTAAACGTGATCACTGTTTTTTGTTTATTCTCACCATGACTGAACTTCATTCTCTTCCCATGATCTCGCTCAATGGCTTCTACTTCAACATCTGAAGGAGATCTTAAACTTTCGGAGAAAGAAGGTCCGCCATGCTCCATCCGAATTCCTAACACAGAAAAAGAAATAGTCAATTATTTGCTAATATTTTTTCTTAAACTTGGGAGGTAACCAAATTGAAGTTATTAACCATATTTTCAATTTTTTTACTGAAAAAACAATCCACAGTTGTGATCCAGTAATTTACGTGCCAATCATAAATTATATTACAAGAATAGAGGATGACCAGTAACAAAGGTATGCATTGGCCACAGTCCATTTGAATAGCTTTTTACTTGACTTGTGATAGGATGACAAGTGATAAATGAGTGATTGACTAAGGGAATAAATGTGTGCTTCGGAGGTTTTTATCACTCTGTTTAAGACCACTTAGAGTCTGGGTGCTGATAATTACCCTAGCCGGAGGCGAGGGTAATTATCAGCACCCAGACTCTAAGCAGTCTTAAACAGAGTGATAAATACCGACCGAGCACATATTTATTTCCATTCATAAATACCTTTTCGGTAAAAAAATATAAAATAATTCGTTAAAAAAATCCTGAGTTTGTGCAACAAGTTCACTTTATGCTTTTTGAAACATCCCTCTAGCAAAATAATGGAGTGTTCAGCTGGCGAGTAAGATGTAAACAACCCTTTTATGGAGATTGACGCGCGCGTGGCATGTTCTGCGCGATGTCACGCAGAACGCACCTGGGGCGTTGCGTTTTGAATTTTAAACTATAAAATTCTGACTCACTGGTAGTGTTGCGCATGCCTACGTGAGGATTGTGAACGTTCAACCAATGAAACGGTAAGAGGCACTGGATTTTTAGGAGTCCACATTTTATTGTGACACTGGAAAAGTGTTTAAGACCAGCTAGCTATGTCTTTATCATCCGTTTAAGACCGGCCACGTGACGGGCTCTCGACCAATAGGAATAGCTAAACTGTCTGAGGTATTTATGAATAATGATTTACTCTTATGGACTCCATGTGCGAACAAGAGAGTGCGCTTTTTTACCATTTTCCAAACCCTGGTGGACGAGACATACCGCATGCGCCCTCTCGTTTGCGTAGTTTATGTAACGCATAGTACGCATAAATAATAATAAATAATATAAAAGTAATAAACCCCCACACCTTCATACAGTGAGAAAGGATCCGATGTGGACGATGACCCGTGACCGTCCATCTGATTGAGAACTCCACCCATCTTCTGATAACCACACCTCTTCAAGTGGTACTTCAGCGACGCCTTCTGCTTGTACGCCGTGTTGCAGAACGGGCAGACGTTGAGACGCTCCTGTCGGTGTGTGTCCAGGTGGGCAATGAGGGCGTCCTTCCGCCGCGCGCTGTACTGGCAGACCGGGCATTGGAAGGGCCGTTCATCAGAGTGGGTGCGGAAATGGCGGTTAAGATTTCCCTTTTGGGAGAATGCGAAGCCGCATATGGAGCAACAGTATGGCCGTTCACCTGTGGCAAAAACAAAACTATATTCATTCCAATTCCCTAACCTTTGTTTTTTTGCTGGGAACCTTCCTAAACCTCCAGCTTCTACCACTGTGTGGGAACCCAATAGCACACACTTTTGTACTTAAATTTTCAAGGAGTATCACACACAATGTAAAGTAGACGTAGCTGGGCTGTACCATCCTAAATTATTCTGCAGAAAACCTCCTTGATAGTCTTTTCTAACTGTCCACTATTCACATAAATGTTAGGAAAAGATACCTACATCTTCAAAAACCGAGTGTTATTTTTTTGGGTGACGGCTCTATGTTCCGACACCCCTATGTTCCGACAAACCGCACACAAGATTGTGTTACTCCCGGTTAGGGTTAGGGTTAGCATTAGGGTTAGGGTTAGCATTAGGGTTAGGGTTGGCATTAGGGTTAGGGTTAGGAATAGGAATATGTGCAGTTGGAACATAGGGGTGTCGGAACATAGGGGTGTAACTATTTTTTTTAATATGTACCTGTATGCGTTCTTATATGCTTTTCTAACTGATGAGAACTGTCCGAGCAGAAGTTGCAATCCGAACACTTGAAGCGAAGAGAAGGATCGTCTTGGGCGGTCATTGAGTGATCCTCTCTCCTCTCCTCAGTCTTGGGCCGGTCATCGTGATGATCCACCTTGGCCGTGAACGGACTGTGCGGCTCGGACTTGGGACTCAGGTTGTGGGTGTCTTCGTCATCTTCGAGGATGACACATGGTTGGTCTTCAACTCGTTGTGACTCCATCTTATCATTCGGGGAGAACGAGATGTTTTACTACAAAATAGAAGCGAGTCCCGTCTTGTTAATCAAAGCAGAAACAAAGAATTGAGTGCTCCATTAAACAAAATGCAAGGTAATCTTTTTCATGGTTAAATATTACATTTATAAACATCCTATTATGAAAAAGAGTGGAACTAATACGAAACCTTCCCACCAACATGACCAATAAGTCATCCAAACCTAGTTTCGGAAAGAATGTATAGATGCCACTTCTTTGGCTGTGTACAAAGTCTGTGAAAGGTCAGTTATTGCAAAAATGATAATAAGACATGAATCTGGGACTGAGAAACATTTCCAATGTTGTTAGGAAATACTTTGTTAAGAAAAAAAAATTCTTGACTCTCCATAGACTTTGTACACAACAGCTGAAGTGGCGTCAGGTTGCAAAATTTTTCACAAGAATTTGCGGGGGGGTTTTCCGGACAAACTCCTCAGTTGTTTGGGGAACATAGCGTGTGGCCAGCAGAGGTACCTCCAGGGGTCAGACAAGTCGACCGTTGAGACAACTCGACTTGGGACAACTCGACCGTTGAGACAATTTGACCGTTGAGACAACTCGACCGTATGTGCGTTAAATGGAAAGACAAGTCGTCCGTTGAGACAAGTCGCCCATTGAGACAAGTCGACTCGCATGCCTGGGATCTTTAGTACCGGGGATTTTTTGCCGTATCATAAATGCAGTAGTAGTAACACTCTATAGGCCTGTGTAGATATACATTACATGTACATTGAGGTGTTGAAGTCATTACTCTTGCAGACTAATGTTAATAGCGATGAGCATGGATGCGGACCCCAGACACCCGCCCCGTCTTAGACCCGTGAACGTGGCGTTGTATACAACGCCACGCGCTTCCCTCGGGTAAATTCAAGCGAAAGCATTCTATCTTTTGATCCGCTACATATAACCATGTATAATTTTGCCCATAGGTTAATCACTTACTTGTTGGGCTTCCTGTGAATTTCCGCGAGTGTTGGATCTGGCATTGCCAAGAAATTTGATGTAAAGTACGGCACAACTTTGTCACAACGAATGTTTTTAAAATGATCAAGAATCAAAGACAGGCATGACACTTTGATACCCCGTGTTCCGCACGCGCAAAATGGTAAAACTATCAGCAGTGGGTACCCGACTATCCGTCGTACATGGCAGGATGATCATAATACCATATAAAATTCTGCTAAATCCACTTCGAAAGTCTGCCAAATCACCCAGTTTATATTGCTGTTCCATTGTGCAAGGGTTTGTTTCAGGGATCTTTCAAAAAATGAAGGTTTTTCAAACCAAATGTGCCATATTCCTCTAATCTTTTTCATTTTCCACCATTTTCATAATTCTGCCGAAAAAAAATATTCTGCTGATTTTCTGCACAACTCAATTTTGTATGCAAATATTCTGTCAAATGTAGCCGAAATTCGTCTAGAACGGTCACTCCATCTTAGTAACTGCGAATCACAATAGAGTGTTTTTACTATAGACTGAAGCGTGGCTATGTATATAGCCACGTTCACGGGTCTAGCCCTGTCTGTGTGCGCCATGTGCATGCCCTGCCGCCGCGCTGGGTCCGGGCTAGCCCCACTAGTGTGGCCGTCGGTATGCTGCGCTGAACCTTAGCCCCACTAGTGTGGCCGTCGGTATGCTGCGCTGAACCTTTCAGCGCAGCATACCGACGGCCACACTAGTGGGGCTAGGTCCGGGCGTGATTTCTACCCCAAGAATCTGTTCAAAACTTCAAAAAGGGCGTCATAAGAATTGAGTAAAGTCTGCTTTTGATTGTAACGGTGATTTTTGAGCAATAAAAAACATTTTTGACTCTAATTTGATCAAAACAAAACAGGGGCCCTTCACTTCATGATCGCCGTGTGGCCGCGATACATGTATCGCTGCGCCGCGCTGCTCAGCTGCTGTGAACAGGTGAATGCCAAGGTCAGACCATGGAGGTAGACAACGCGACCGACGAAATTTCGACAAAACATGACGACCAACACACACACTAGTACCAATTTACCAGTTTTATTAACCCACCTGATGCAAATTGGTGGAGACACATTGAAGGTCAAGACTGTTCAATTAACGCGAAAAAAATGAGATTAGAATATGAAATACGCTGTATTTTTTAACTATTTTTGATTGGATCTCCAGTTGTTGTCCTGACTTCCGCCAGATCCAGCGGGCTGCCATTTTGATCAGACGAGCTAGGGAGCGCCCCCAACGTTTACAAAAACTCCAATAATTCCCGAGTTTTCTCCAACTTGCCAATGTATATACCCAACGCTAGTAGGCCCTATTAAGGCGTTTTCTTAAAGATGTATCGTGACCCTGAAGTCTTAAAAAAAAAATCGTGATTTTTTTTTCTCTCAACGAATTTCCAATTTGTATGTTTTGTTCTAACGAATAAACTGCTTTATGCTGATTTTGGGCGCACTGCTAGAGCCGAACTATTGCTTGCTGGCCAATAATTCGATTTTGTGAAGAAATAATTCAATAAACGTCGGTTGATTTTTTGTTCGATGTCTCATTCAAAGTGAATAACTTTTGCGATTGCTAGGGAAATAGCAATTGAAAAAAAAAATCTATTTTCGAGGTGAAACTCGGGGAAAACGTCTTTAATTTCACATTTGTCTGTAAGACCCAAATTGAATGATCGTTTATTTCCTTGTGTTTTTGCGATCAAGGAAATGAATTTTAACAGGAAGTATAGTCTTTTCTTCTAGCAATAAATCATCCCGTGACGAGATAAAATATAAGCCTACACGATTAAAATGTGTATGCAGACAAATCCGAGCACGCTAACAATTCTGTCACGAAGGCCCCCTTCAATGGCGAAATCATTGTGTTCGTTGGGTTTTTTTTTTTAGATGGGTGCAGACCAGTAAATCGGTCCGAAATTGCCTACGCCGGCCAAATCACGATTTGCATGCCCTCAAAATCTTCAGTATTTGAGCATGCTGTGGGCCATGAACTTGAGGGTTTGTAAAAAAATATGGGTGGAAGCCGTGCACAGGACTGGGAGCTTGCAGTTCTGTGTAATTTGGATGTTTGGACCCTAAAAGCGCTCTATTATGCAATGGAGTGTAGGCATCGTTTTTCAAAATGGCGATGGGCTTCAGGACTATTTTCAGGGGTGATCATCTTCATATGGAAATTTCTCCTAAAAGTTGACCCCCCAAAAATTGAAAAGTAAATGAAAGATGATGAAATAAGCTTTAATTTGATGTGTGTCTCGAACACCTTGGAGAGTTGTGAGTATTTTTCCCGAATTTTTGAAGTGGGATCATTTACCATTGGAAGTTTATTTACTGGTCTGCTACCAGATAGTCCGCATCCGTGACGCACGGGGTAGGGGGCATTGTGGGTGTACAGTGATCCCGTGTCCGGATCACAAGGAAGTGTTGTGAATTAAATCTGTCATTTTGTAAGCTGCATCCTGCAGACAAGTGGCTTCATTAACACAATACATTTCATTCCAAACCCACCATACTAGCTGGATTAAAGCAAAATGTGCCAGGCCCGCAAACCCGGACAAAGTTGGGGAATTAAATCTGTCATTTTGTAAGCTGCATCCTGCAGACAAATGGCTTCATTAACACAATGCATTTAATTCCAAACCCACCGGTCCCCATACTTGCTGGATTAAAAAAAAAATGCGCCAGGCCTGCTCCTGATCCCGCAAACCCGGACAAAGTTGGGGAAAACATTGTTTTTAAGGTTTCGGCAAATTCCTTATGGAAGCAGGTCTCATATCCGATGGCGGCGCTGAATTCCAAACAATGAGAGCAATCATAACGCATGTATCTAGCTCGTTTGATTCCCTTTTCATTTCCCAAGAATGGAGATAGCTTTGCTTTACAGTGATCATGAAATAAATTTAGATCAAAAATCATTTTATGCATCTTCTCATTTTATGTCACACACAGTACAATTATGTTTCTTTACAATAATATTGCATCTACACAACTACAGTGGTGTCTAAATCACACTGTTAATCACACTATCACATCACTACAAACACATTACGTTCTATAATACTCAGTGTCGTATTTTCTGTTTAACAATAATTTAAAGTGTTCAATTATCAGTTGATAATTTTGATATAAAACATTTTGCACCGTTAATATACGTGCCAGGTAAATGGGTTTTTTTTCACATATACTCAGCATGGTGTATTGGGGGGCGGGGCGCATCATGGTGTCATCGCTCCTTCGAAAAATAGTAAGGTTTCCAGAATGCTAACAATTTAATAAGCCTGATTCGGCACACAACTGCTTGCAGCAGTAGCTGCTTTACAGCTGTTCTAGAAAGTTAAAAGGGCTCATGCAATTTAATTGTTTAAATGTTATCCTTGAAAATGCACCTTCTTTTGTGCACCATTTACAATTTTTCGTTTTGCCATTTTGAATGGTATTTTTGTGTCTTTTTTCGTTTTATGCTAATTAAAATTTCCATATTCATAAGCAAAATTGAGGCGTGATTCCAGGCAGACACCTCAATGTCCAACTATTTGAGGACAATTTTTTTTTTTTTTTTTTATATTTTGCTTAAATTTTCTTTGGTGATTCGTTGTTGAGTGAGTACATGGCAGTAAGCCTTTCTCACAGACGTTTTCAATGAGCAAAATTTGGGTTAACATTTTGAAAAGAAAACCCCTAAACTGAACAGTGTCGGACTTCCTGAAATGACGTCACAACAGTAGCGCACTCACTTCTTCTCCGGAAAAGCATGGATAATTTTAAATGTTTAAAGAAGTGCACGTTTCAATAAAATTAACCAAAAAGGGATGCCAAATAGTGATATCATATACATTTAAGAGGAGTAGCAAGTTGCACAGAATAATGTGATCCTAAGAAATATTCATCTCACGAACCCTTTAAATACATCTCAAGTGCCTCAATATTTTAGATCAGAAAATTTTGAACATGGAAAACAAATTCTCCATCTGGTTTCGACCCAAAGTTCGCGCTCCTCAGGCTGCTGAAAATATTTTTTTTTTAAATCACGGAATATGGCATAAATATTTGGGGGTGTCATTGTTGAAAACGCCTCTGTGATTCTTCATGAAATCTTCATGAAAAATAACATGGTTCAATAAAAAAATTAATTGGAGGAACGTGGAAAAAAATGTATTCTATATAGACCTACAGGCCTCTATACCGCCCCATTACAGTAATCATTTGAATTTATTATTATTTAATTATGAAAGGATCATTCTCTACTGTTAAGGTTCAATTTGACTGCGATCCACGTTCTGGAAAACAATCTTTGGAATCGGTTTTTCAATGTTCAATTCGGTCTTTTCTTCAAAGTTCTCTTTGACTTCAGAGGGCGCCCCCTCTGTCTGAACGCGCATCAGCAGGTTGTCCGTGGCTTCGATGGTTTCCGTCGTGTTACCCTGATTGAAGAGCAGTACGTCCGGGGTACCAGCGGCCAGAATCTTGGCCTTGACACTGGCGTGAGTCAGGGACGGGTCCTCAGCCAATATGATCGCTGCAGCTCCTGAATATTTATAATGTAAAACAAGAAAATGAAAAAAAAATAGATAGATGAGAATGAAGGCTATTTTGAGTAATGTTTTGTAGGTGTCCTGTACTACAATGGCTTAACTAAAAGAGCCTTTGGTAAGACAAAGAAACAGCTTTTTATTGTTTGAAAGCCATTAGATGCCATCTCCAGAAAATGAGGCCCTATACCCTCCCCCTCTCCCAGTGATGCAGTCTCTGTTCTCACTTCTATACCCCTGAGCTACATGTACCTGCAACGTGCGGACATGCCACGGACGTGCCGCTCAGAATCATGGTATCGTGAGGTCCCGTGCGGGTAGCACTCTTAACCTCGACTCCAGGCGCAAAGATATCTACACAGGGCCCCCAGTTGGATGATGGCCACCTCGTGTCTTCCACGTTCGTTGCTCCAACAGTGATGACCTATCGTTAATTACAAATTAAAAAGGATATGGAAAATACATGCAACATAAAATCCCTTTAGCTTCAGAATCTGTATACAGTCCCCTGTGACGCACCTCAGCAAAACATACGACGTTCAAAAGGCAAAGTATTAACCCCCCCCCCCCCCACTCCCCACAGCACACACACAGAAGTGTGAATTTAGGGACCCCCTATTGTCCCTCTTTTGTTTGTACCTTAACTTTTTAGGAAGACCTCCCATACGGTTTTGTAGTGACGAATCCAAATTGGGGACCTCTCGGGAGTTGGGGACCCTATTGTCCTCTATTGATCAACGTCCCCTATTGAATGTAGAAACAAACTCACATCCACTCATTTTACTATACTCATGAGGACCTGCCCCTTTCCTTCTTTTTTCCCCTTTTGTTTGTCCTTTTTCTAGTACGGATCCCATAAGGTTTGTACACGGCGAAATTCTCCCGAGGACTAGTGCCCAGGTCCTCCGACCCATTATTATCGCACACACCCCATTACCCCAAGTCCTGCAGTCGTAAAGGATAACCAACCCATGCACACATGTGCCGCACGCGTGCATGATAGAAGAGTATCCATAAAATAAGCATGCAAAATAACGTAAAGAAACGTAGAAAATATTCTACCCGCGCATACCCCATAGAGGGCGCTATTTTACAAGCAAATGCATCTAGACAAAACAGTAACGGACCTGTTCGTTACCGGACGGACTGCAGTTGCAGGCATCATCGTCCATGTTACCGGCCGCGACAACCACCGTGACGCCCGTCAGCTCTATCAAGCCGTCCAAGGCGTGGCCTAGTGGGATGTGCTCGCCGTACATGTTGAGCGACAGAGTGACAACAGCTGGCTTAGAGGCATGGTGACCTACCCAGTCTATACCTAGATGGTGTGAAAAGGGAATTTACAGTGAACATGTAATTAGTTTGATGAATAAAAAAATATCACTGCTTTGTCTTTGCGTGGCAATCTGTTGGTGAAGAGCCACGTTACGTGATCAGCTGCGTACCAAACTCATGAAGGTAATTACTTATTGTTCTCGGGAACAACTTTGTCGGAGTCCATAGGAAACTCGATAGCACTGCGATTTTATGGGCAAATACTAATGACCAAATATGCAAGCCCAAACGCTGAGTAAGCCCCTGAATAAGAACTTTAGTTTTGAAAATCGGCATCGGCAATTGGGGATTAGCTTGACGATAGCTAGGGGCGGGACAGAACGAGGACGGGAAGGGGACCAAGGACGTGACATAGATCAGTCACATCGTCACAGACAGTCCCTGGCGCATGACAAGGGTAGGCTGTAAACGAGGAGGGAGAGGGGTAGCCTCTTGACGATGGCATCTTCACTCGAGCCTGGTATTTGACTGACGGAGCAAATCCCAGGCGCAAATTGAAGAATTTAATTAGCGACCGAGATAAATCGATATGCAAAAAAAAGCTTCGTGTCTTCGTAACTCGATCTTCACCGTGTAGCCTCCGCTCAGTTCGCCACTAATTCCAAGATGGCCTTGGCAATATACAAACCAGCAACTACATCAGCCACCGTCCCCTCTGTATCACAGCTAGCACCGACTACTCGAACACCACACACTCGAACCTTGCTAGCCACACCGTACGTCTCTCCTGCTACAATACCAGCTACGTAAGTCCCATGACCCGTGCAGTCAATGCCCTGAAACAAAATATATATATCAAATGGGAGGTCAAAATACAGGTAACCGGTGCCCTCACAGATAGAGGAATTTCAAATCAGCATCCAAACCGAGGCTCTCGGGGCAAGCCTCGGTATGACATAAGAGACCTTGTCTTCATTTTAATCCACACGACATTACAAAGAGCACTGAGGACCTCGGTTTCAGTGTTAATTTGAAATTCCTCTAGCGGGCGGTAGGCAGGTGCTATTTCCTATCCGTGGGCTAAACTATAACACCTTGATTGTAAAATAGCTGGGCACATAAACAAAGCCAATTATTTTTTTTAAGGGGAGGGGGTGTCATGAAAGGCAATTTGCTAATGTTGACTTCTGACCCTTGCACAAACGCAAGAGATTACTTGACACAAGTCTTTGTAATCCGATCATTTTCATGTGATCAAAAGAAAATGGAAGTAGTATTTGCACGAAAGTATAAACATTTAAAAAATACTACAAAACATAATGTACTCGACGTGTTTTGAAGTTTTGGACTTAACTCGGCAGAACTAGAACAAGATCTTTCCTCAATTCCGTTTGTAACGTCTATATTTTTTTGAATTCGTACGGTGGATTGCGGAGACATATCACGGAGAGAAAATCGCGAACTATGATGTACCCAATCGCAGTTGGAATACTGAACGGGTTTATTGTCGGCAGCAACGTAAACTATACTAAAACTGATCATTTGTTTTTCACAAAATTATCTTAAGTTGAAAGATTAAATTCAATCCTTACAGTGCCACCCAAAGCATCAAAGCAAGCACTGGCCCGCTGGCCAAACTCTGCGTGTGTCGGCAGGATGCCGGTGTCTAAGACGTATACCGTTACATCATTGCCGTCATCTGCATATTCATAAGGGCAAAGGTCAAAGCATTTAAGTCCATGCAAATATAAAGTAGTAATGATATTCTTTAAAACAAAAAGGAAAGAAACGTCACTTGTCAGAGTGTCGGAGCCTCCACTTCCAATAATTGGTTGCGAGTGTCGGTGATAGTTTTATGATAAACGAATGATTTCAAAGGATGGGTATGTGGGCCTAGCCTGAGTATATAAGCATTCAATGTTGTGTGTAGGCCTTAATAGCAGGGATCCATCATAAACACCCTTTTTAACACACAAGAAATACGTTAAAAGGAACACCCTACCAAAGCTTCCAATTAAGTTTTTAAATCAACGACCTATAGGCCGATACATGTATTTAAAATTGTCAATTTACCAGTTGAAAGAACAATAAAGTAGTTACGTAATAAGGTACAAAATCAAGGCAAAATCCAATTTGGCTAAGACCCCACTTATTGGTTCACTGGCCCGTACTTGCTGGGTTATATCGTCCATCTAACGGTAACTCAGCCTGGTCAATCCGGTCCAAGTTCCATGGTATATTCGAAGACGTCTCCCGTGATGCGCTCGATGACGTCAGTTGTGCCTCATCTAGTGACGTTACACGGACGATACCATTCTCCTGCACATATTCCACTGCTTCGTGATTCAACACCTATATCATAAATTAAAGAACAAGTCGCAAAGCCATTATTGCAAAGGCTCAAAGCGCGACTCCAAAACTAATATAAAACCTCCTAGCTAGTACGTAAAGGCATCAAAACATTCAGCCTTCAGCGCCAGATTTGCAAGAATTTTCGTCGCCTCTCCGAATTGTGCTGATGTCGAATCTTAAGAACGGTTAACTTTTCAACTTGTGTTATTCTTTCTTCTTTTTTTAAGTTGCTGAAGTTGTGCTTTCGATTCGATTCAGTCTTGTTTGCATTTCCGCAGTTATCTGGCTATCAACAGTCCTTTGATGAATACAGGCTCAAAGTCCACCATAGTGATATCGTGGGTGTTAGAGCTAACGTATTTGCACGTGATGCAATGAGTGTTATGAAAACGACTTTTTCAGCAGACCTTATCTTTGCTGTAAAGCATTTCCTGCTATTACACTTGGATTCCTTTTGGATGAACTAAGGTGATGCTGTGGGTTCTGGCGTCCACTTTGCTACACAGCTCAGACACTAACAAGAAACTCTGTGTTCCATGAAAACCCAATAATGTCAGACGCGACATATCGACCGCTTTTGGCCGAACACAGTGACGTTGAACGTCACGACAGGAACGATGTGGTTCCTGAACCCAGTAAACCTGCACCTATGTTGTGCTGCTGTGCCACGTTACTAAGTCTTACGGTTGCCGTTCTGTTCATTGCATCCCCAATGGTGTGTTATAACGCGTACAAGTCTGCGTCTGTTACCCTAGGAAGCGGAGACGTCTTGTCGGTAACCATCCAAGCAGGAGATGTTTTCAGCGGTGTGTTTTGCTCAGAGTACTCAGTCCAAGCCACTGATCCCAACAGTGTGGGCACTTCCTTCGGTTCTGGCGAGGCTGGAGAGGGGGAAGCATTCAAGGTCTACGCGCTGTCTCGCAAGGCACAGATAGCCAATGATACGGTCTGGAGACATTTGCAAGAGAGGGGGGTGTTAGGGAATTACGCCTACCCTAAGTACTTTGTCTATCACGTGACTGACTCGGGTGGCATCGATGTGACTGCTTGCAGTAACGACACAGACCTGACCATCTCACTATGTCAAACGGAACAAGATGCCAAAACGTTTATCCAAAATGGCTATAATGTGAACTGCTACCTCCAATGTTTATCTTCCGCTTTGGAGTGTCGCATGCACGAGTATCAACCATGTTCATTATACCTCACTGAAATGAACGATAAAGACTTCATGCGTCGCGCCATAATCGTCGTCTCTCGGGACACCTCGGGACTCAGTACCGCCGACGAGCGAGTTGAGATCGATTTCGATATACACGGACCCGTCTACAAACTAGACAACGTGGTAGCGTCACAAGACGGCACCAACACAGTCATCTTGCCTGTTCCCATAGACTCGTTGGACATCTTGTATGAGGTACCGCTTGATGCCGCGGTTAACCCCATCCACCTGCAAGGCACCTGCAACCCCAGAATACTGATGTACGTCTGTATTTTCGGGGCAATACCCGTCGTTACTGGTGTATTTTTCGGCAGCGTGTTTTACTGCTTGTTCAAAGAAACTAAGCCTAACCGTACAAACAGTAGTTCACGTCGTCGGTCCAACCTGCCAACATACAACCCACGTATTGATGAGAGTAACATCCAAGTAAACACTGAACAACACCAACCTTCCCATCCTCCTCCTCCGTACGAGGAAAGGCAATAAACTGGGTGGCATTCTGTTGTGGCACAACCTCGTTCCTTTTACCTTACTCCCATACCAAAAATGACTCAATAGTCTATCCTCTTTGTTAATAATAATATCGGAGCAATATCGGAGTCTTATATAGCCCACGTATCTACCAACAATTAGGTACTCAAGGCTCTGGAAATTATGTCTATCATGTCTATTAAAGACAGGTAAATGAAGTTTGATGAGAAATATGAGACCCGTTATGTAGCACCTTATAAGGGTGTTTAAGGTGCTGCGGCGCATATCGCAGCCACTGCCAGAAACACCGGGGCAAGGCTAATGGCGATAAGTGTTATACTGGGTTTTTTAACGTTCGTTACAAAACACACGGGACCTACGACTTTACATCCAATCCGAAGGTCGAAGCAATAATGATAAAGTGCCTTGTTCAAGAGCACAAGCCCCATGTTCCCACGGTCAGGATTCGAACCCATGTACCACGGCACACGTGCCGAACACCGCAATTGGACCACAGCAGTACAGCACCCCACTGATGATGTCATCCGTAATTGCTTACAGCCTGATACACATCACAACGTACAGATCAGACCGTATGCCAAGTGTTTGAACCATGGTTTTGTTCTAGCATTAACCTAATTCAAGACACATTTAACAAGGCCCTGACTTTGGAAAATCCACATAATTTAGGTTCAACCAACCATGTGTACTTTCAAGAACATAACATCTTTCAATATGAGACTACAGTTTGGAATGTTTTCACTTGATTTTGACATACTCTATTATACCTCCACCCACGTACGGTAAATATTGTAAAATACAAAGTATTTTCAAATTTCGCATGGGTAAGGATAGGATGTTACTAATTATGTTGCAATTGAAAGTTGCAACAAGATTGAACATTCCCGATGAAAGTAAACGTATGAAACTAAACAGCAGTTTAATTTGTGGTCGTTTAAAAAGAAAAATGAATTTCCAGCGATGATAGAGATGAGGCTTTTGTAATATGACACGAGATGAATGGCTCACTCAAAAAGGAAGCCATTTTTGATCATGTTCCCTGTATCTATTTTATATATTGTAAACTATGGAATGGGATGGTGCCAGACTATTTTTTATGATTGCAGTGCATGCCGGGCCTCACTTTCAATTTTTTATATATATATATATACAGTAGGGTCTGTTTAATCTTAAAGTTTAAATTATTAATCAGAGCAGACTGGTAATGATTTGCAATGACCTATTATTTCATTCCTTTCATTTCTTCTCGCAAGTTCCAAAAATGACGAGTTTACCTCGCTTTCAATTTAAAATGGCCGACTAGTGAATAAAGTCTATTGGCTATGGATTTAAGGCTGTTGTTTAAAATAGTTTGTGTACATTAATTTACGACTGTTGTATATTAAAATAATTATCTAGAAAAGGATTTGGGAAGTGAATGAAAAAATAAACAGGGCATTATAGAGGAACTGAGAAATCCTTGCCAGTACACCCTACCCATAAGGGTGTCTTATTACGTAGAGTTTGTAGCCAAGATAATCGTTTAAACATTCTTTTCTCTGTGGAATGATAATTTAACATGAAGAGTTTAGATTCAGATGAGTCAATTTTACAAATACAGAGAAAAGCCCGTCGATAGTTATTCATAGTTGTTCTTCAAAATAACTTCTGCTGGTGAACGGAGTAAATTTCGGTCTACCTTTTGAAGAAAAATGCCATTGACCTATACACTATGAGAAAGCAAAGCATTAAATAAAAATCTGTTGGAGTTGCTACAATAAACCACATGAAGTATATAAAGCAACACAATTTCTTGTTTGCTAAGTACTCGGTGATTGTACTCCAAACCACTTGTCCAACGTGTATTTTCTCAATTGGACCAGCACATTCTGCGATTGCGATCAGTTTGCGTCAGCAATTTTTTGGCAAACACATATGTCTCTGTACACATTTTCGAGTGCTTGAACCTGGCACCCTGGGATAAGGTTCAAGTCGTCAGGTGTTTATTTTATCTGAAAGAAACAAATTGGCGCTCGCATGTCATGTGATAAGGAAAATAGGAGTTACTTATGAGCATGTGACCTCTGTCACGTGAAAGGATGGGCAAAGTTCGTCGGGGTGAGAAATCTAGACAGTGTCTGGTTAAGGGTGTTATAGGCTACGTGAGTTTTTTCGACACTAAAGTTTGTGATGTTGAACGACCGAAGCTATTATAAGAATATCTATAATATAACTCGAAAGTAGGCCTATACCATCATCATCATGTCGGATTCCTCATCTTCGTCCAGTCAACCTCTCCTATCTGACCGTGATTACGAGCAGGATCGGAGGGATGGCGCCCTGGATAAACCCATCGTCCGGATCGCTGGCATGGTCTTACTGGTCGTGTTGCTTGCGGTCTTTACCATCGCTGGTCTAGTCACCCGCTACGACCTCTACAACAAGGCAACCTCGGTCACCCTCGGAGCCGGGGATAGCTGGTCCGTCTCCGTGCAGAAAAGCAGCGTATTCAGCGGGGTGTTTTGTAGCGAGTACAGCGTGCAGGCTACCAGCCCACAGGTGTCAACCAGCAAGGAGCTTGATGGGCCTCAACCCGGGGGAGTCTTCAGTATCATCGCGCTGTCGGCAGAGGCACGCTTGGCAAATGGTCAAATCCACCGGTACATTCACGAAAGAGGGACTTTGGGTGCATATGCCCTCAACCAGTACTTTATCTATCATGTATCGCCACCAGCGGGTTATGTACAAGTGAGCCCGTGTAGTAACCAAACTGACGTCTCTGTTGTTAATTGTACAGATGAGGATGACGCCAGAAGATTCATCAGTGATGGTCCGAACAGTGGTGCCTGCAGCTACGGTTTGACGTGTAATTTTACCAAGTGCGGAGGCAGTCAAATGGACTGCTCATATCTGGTTAAGCAAATACCAAACAGTCAGACACTGGAGCCCGTCATCCTTGTGGTGTATCGCACCTCTGGGAAAGGCACAGGAGGAGAATCAGTCCAGATAGACTTTGATGTCTGGGGTTCGACATACCAGCTTGACAAGAAGGTAGCATCGTGCGACAACGCCACTGGGTCCTGCATCCTCCCAGTTCCTATGGCCTCATCTGACATCGTACTCCAGATACCTGTCGACACTAAAATGAACCCTACTCATTTCGAAGGCAACTGCATCTCGCGAGTGCCGATTTACATCTGTATATTCGTGGGACTGCCACTGGCTATCGTACTGGTTCTCGGTGGATGTGCACTGTGCTTGAGAAAGACACAGGCCAGCGTCATCAAAGCCACAGATCAGGCCGATC